GTCCACGGCCTACCCCAGTTACCACTACTGTGTATGTGTGTCAAGGACAGAAAGGCAGGTGCGGCAGTGGAAGGTGTCAAAGCAGTTTGGAGAGAAAAACAAAGTAAAAAATGACTAACCAACTTTTAAATTGGTTGTTGACTATTTTAATAGTCAATTAGTCATCGACTTGTCGACTAGTCATGGCAGCTAGTTTGGAGCGGTTCCTTTTGTCCTTCCAAGCTGACTAGATCACTTAACACACCACACACAGCAGAAATATCTCATAAGATTTTTTCAGAGCCATCATGATAATTGAGGCTTCCTTAAGATTGTCGGAAGAGAAAAATTGGGCCAAAAAAGGCACAATGAACATAACGTGTTWTCCTGCAATAGTTAACTGTCTATCAAATTTCAACTCTGGTTTGTCTTGTAAAGGAGAGTTGAAGCCTGCTTTAGTTGTCATCTCTACCAGAAGGTATATCATTGCTGAGTTATTTCCATCACCCTGGCATGATTCTATTTTTTAAGTAAATTTAACATCTGAAACAGAACTGAGCTAAGACACTGTGACTGCAGTTACCAGAACTGAGGAACTGGCATTGGGCAAAATTTATTGATGTACAAACAATACAGGTAAACCATTGCAACAAAGAGCCAGAGCTTTGCAATACTTTGACTGAAGTCCCTTCAGGACCGATGGGGTTGGAATTTTGGGCCAGCATGCAATCCAAATCATGCTGGTGTGCGTGGTTTCACCTGCAGTATGCTCCACTAGGACCCAATATGCTACCACAATGAACCATCATGACCCACTACAAAAGTTTTGTGCATGTTCAAAATGATTGTGGACCAATCACGCTGTCACTCTTAATAGAAAGCTTGTTTCTTAATGCACACTTGAAGACCTTTCTAAAGCCTTTCGAAGATCATTCATGTCAACTTGTACGGATTGTCTGTAAATTAAAAGGATTTTCCTCCATTTCACATAAACGGACAAATAGGGAAATCTCACAGATTTTTTCCAAATCTTATGGATTTTTTCAAAAATTCAGCTTCAAGTTTATTTTACATCTCAGAGCTTGTAGGACATTAAAAAACAACAACAAATAATATGAAATAACCATCTTCCAACCCACACTGCTGCTAGAAATAAGTCACCTGT